GTAATACTGTCAAACCATGTCAATATACTCTGTAGTATTAAGTATGATCTCTCATTGCATGCAGGTGAAGTGTCCAGCTAGAAAATTTAAACTGAAAGTTACAGAATACTGTTGTAGAATTTCTGCACCATGAGGCCTTTGTTTTCCCTGAGAGATGAGGGAAAGAAAAAGATAAGTTAGGCCAGATTTTTGATGTCTTAGGATAATGTATAATCTTCTTTAGGTTCTTAAAGAGGTTTAACTGATGCTAGTATAGATGACTACTGGATCTTTGAAAATCTTATCCATGTTTAAACATTGGGAGCGTGGAATGGTAGGAAACTTGTTCTTTGCTGGTATTTTTCTTGGTCTCATCTTGGATTTTTGCACATATAATGCTGCTTTGTTCTCTGGAGCTCAGGCTTCCACTTTTCCTTGATCCTTGTACTTGCTTTTTTTGCTTTTGGTTTTTTATCCTTTTAAAATATTGTTTGGTAGTGCACTCCAAACCAGACATCCAAAAAACTCTTCCAGCCTCTGTAGTTCAGGTTGTTACTGCTGTTCCACAACTGAACACTATTATGCTGGATGTAAGAAATACAAGGAAAAAAAAACCCAAAAGAACCCAACAAACCAAATCTCAGGTTCCTGTGGAGTTTGCGCTTGGGAGTAAAATCAGTGCACAGGAGAGCCTGGAGTGTTTGGAACTAAGGTAAAGTCAGAAAAAAATGTGTTGCTGACTGTATCGGCTTATCCATGGTAGAGTGGGAGGTACATGTCTGCTGCTGGCATTCTGAGAACAGTGTTTCTGGTTGAGCAGTGTTGTGCTTAAAATGGAAGCAGAGTCCCTATGGAAACTCCAAGTGGTGGTATGATTGAGCATTACAGTTTTTGTTTGGCTGTAGTCTTTGCTCCACCCTGCAAAAGTTGTAAAGGGAATATATTTGAGCATATGCTGGATCTTGCAGAACTGATCTATCCCAAAATAAATCATGGTTCTTCAAGCACTTTATCAAATGTTGCTGTTAATAAATAAATCAGTCTTTGTATTCCTGCTTAGCTGGTTTCTTCCTTGAGCTGATACAATTAGTAATGTGGCAGTACAGTGAACTCAGAGCTGCTCTAGGTTGAATTAGTTTTATTTGGAGGTGGTGCTTACTTGTAGTGGTTGTAAACGTTTAGCGTTTAACATCAATTTCAGTTTTATTTTTGCATTTGGGTAGACATAGTTAAAAAATGAAAATAGGATATATGTGTTAGCCATTAAAAAAACAAGTGTACATAATGTCTTGTGCCTTAAATTTAGTCAAATGTGTTTCATTAGGCGCTTTAGCCAGAGTTTAAATTAACAAAGCTGCACAAATATTCAGAACAAATCTAGATGGGACTTGCCAACTGTCCTTTTCAAGTCCTGCGAATTCTGTAAAGGCTTAAGTTTGAGAAGCAGCAAGTCCCTTCCCCATTACTGTTCTATTTCTCAGATTTTTGTTTTGCCCATTTTGTTACAGCCATGAAATGAATATGTAGCTCTGCAGTGGGGTTGAAACTAGTGGATAGTGGCTTTGGACCAAATGCATGGGACAGTTATCTATGAGAAAAGTGACTGAAAGACTTGTGTGTAGGTTCCCATCCGTTCTCAGTGAGCTTTTGGGGAACTGTATTTTTTTGCTTTCTGGAATAGATTAGAAGCCATTGCAAATTCACGGATGTTAATTTGCTTTAGGATATGGCTCAGTATCAACTGAAAGAGTTAGTATCTAAAGCATATGGGTTAAAGAAAAAGAAAGAAAAAATTAAAGAATGATGTGTGTGTTCTCCCAGCTTCCTGTGTTTGTGTTCTGCTTATATGTTGTTAAGGTTGATGTCCAGCTGCCTCCTCACAGTTTGAAAGCAAGCTTAGACTCTGCTGCTGCTGACTAGGTCCAGATGTGAACAGACATACTGGGACCTGGTGAGAAAGTCACAGTGGGCATGAGGGACAGAAGCACTTGGTAATGGTGTGTTCAGATGCAGAGGATGTGTATTCTTTTAAGGCATGTGTGGGGGTGCCAAGTGCCAGTAAATTGATGTGGTAAGGCTGAGAAGAGGTCCTTGACCCCAAGAAGGCTGCTTGAGGTGCCTGGACAACAAAGCAAGCTATTTTTTTTTTTTTCAGACATGCATAAAGCTTTTCATCTATATACATATTAAAAAAAAAAAAAAAGATTTGCAAGGTTTTAGTCTAATTGCTTAAGCTTCCTTTTTTTGAAGATACTAACTTAGGACTTCTGACCGAGAAAACTAAAAAACTGTGTAATATAAAGCAAAACTTCATTATTCCCTTACTTGACAACTGCATGAAGCAATTTGTGTTGTATATTTAGTAGCTGTGCTTAAGCAGCTTTCTGGGCAGCCGTGAAGAGCTCATTCTTCAAATCAGTTGAATTTTCAGATTTTCTTGTAATACATAAAGACCCAGTCTTGATGTAGATTCTTTTCTATGTGTGAGGAAGTAGTGTTTGTGCTTCCTTCTTAAGAATTAAAATCCTGTATGTTCCACCAGAGTATGTCTCCACTTTTCCTAAAAGCATTGTATTATTTGAGTTGTCTTCCTTTTTATGTCAGAGATGCTAGTATTTGAAAGAAAGCATAATGTAGAGTTCTGATTTGGAGAACTGCAGATGTTGCTTGGAAGGGACATCTGGAGGTCATCTTAGTCCAGCCTCCCACTCAAAGCAGGACTATTGCCAACACTAGTTTAGGTCAGTTACAGCTTTGTGTAACTGAGCATTTAAAATCTGCAAGGATAGACTCGACTGCCATCTCTCTGGTAACCTGTTCAAGTGTTGCGCTACCCTCCTGGTGTCCAATCTGAATGTGCAAAGCCAATATAACGACTGAGAGTTTGCTTCTGTCATCCCTGCTACTTCCGTCAGGTAGCTTTAGGCACCTATGAGATTTGCCCTTAGCCTCCTCTGCCAGACTAAGCAAACCCAGTTTCCTCAACATCCCTTATCAGGTCAGGTGCTCTAGGCCCCTGAACATCTTGGCAGTCCTTTGCTGGACAGTCTCCAGCTTAGCCACATCTCTGTTGAGGCTGAGGTCTCAAAACTACATTCAGTTCATGGTTTGTAATGGTAGAGCAGGAATTACCTTTCTTTGTTCATCTTTCTCTGCTAGAGGTCAATGTCTGTACCACCTAGAAGCAGTCTGCCTAGCTTTAACGATTTTCTAGATAAGGAATCAGAATGATGGGATTCTTAAGGATGATATGAGGATCTCAACAGTTGGAGAAACAGATGAGAAAAGGGTAAATGTCATCTGAAAAATGAGAGAAGGTAACTGCTCTTGTACTTTTCTTCTGTACGGGATGGATAGTCTTTTTTGGAAACTGAAACGAACTTCATGGTGGAAATCAGATTGACACGATGCCCATTTCATGGAGACCTTTGATCTACTGTGAGCATTAACTGGACATTTGCTTAACTGAACAAATTGGAGACTTACTAGAGATTAATTTATCAACTAACATCTGTAGTAGCTTATGAAGTTATAGAGCTGTTGCTAAAGGGAGTAGCTATTCTTATGTTTTCAAAGGGAGGCATGAAATGAATGGAGCAAAGCTTATGATCTCAAAACAATGTCAGATGTAAGATTACCCTCTTGGTTCCTGAGAGTAGCCTTTTGAGTCCTTTGACCAATTTTAACCAAATATAGCTGTGGAATAAATGTGTCTCGCATCCAAAGTCCTTTGGGTAGGAGCACAGTGCTCACCTATTTGGGTAGCCTGCTGTATTCACTGGTTGGTTGGGAACAGTTTTGTGCCATATCAGATGTAGTACTTGTGATAGGGATCTTTAAGTGATACAAGATGCAAGAACCAGTGTCATTACTTTTGTTTGTAGAAAACTTTTACCTGTGGAACTGGGGTGGGTTAAAACAAATATAATATTAAAAACATGGAGCAGGATTTTGTGTCTTGGATCACTTTGATTTCAATGCTGAGTGGAAAGCCTACCAATTCAGGAGGAAGCAGCACAAGATTATAACTCTCATCAGTCCCTCCACGCTTAAAGTTCAAGTATACTAGCTGAAAGGGATAGCAATACTCAAGTTCAATATCTGCTAGCTTATCAAAGTGACTTCTAAACTGAAGGAACAGAAAGTTAAGTAGTATGGCCCTTTAAAGTGGGCTGAAACTGCAACTCATAATTGTAGAGCGAGCTTGTTAAGGCTTTTTGTTTGGGGATTTTTTTTCCCCTACAATACAACAGTTCTGTGTTTTAGTAAGAAAGTGGATGAATCAATTTTAATTATTCTTTGGATTTCTTATCTCACATCAAATTCCCATGGCAGGCTACAAGGATACAAAAACTAATTCTAACTTGGGAACAGTTTGTATTGAATGCGAAATATGTTGTGCCTTAAACTGCTTGCTTCTGTAACTGTTCTATGGGAGTCGAAGCTTAAAATAATCTAGCTAACATTCCTGTGTCCTGTTACTTAGCAATAACACTCAGCTACGTGCATAGGTATATTATGAAATTGTGGACGAGGAATTATCAAATACAATCTTAATTTGAAACTTCAGGGGTGGACTTAGTTTCAGTTTTCTTTTGGGGTCAATGCAGAAACCTCTGTGGTGAGGGTGCACAGTTGAGGATGAACAGGAAGGTGGATTTAAAGAGTGGGATCTACATAACTATGTGCTGAGTATGATGAATGAAAATTTCTCTCAAGGGGTAAATAGAATGCTACAGTGTGATTTCCAGCAACACTGTGGCATTGGCACAGGGTTCAGTTCAGAGGGAAACTCTGAATTGAACCATTATTTATGATCGATCTTCTCTGACTTAAAGCACAGCTGCCTATGGGATCTGTCCTGAGGCCAACCAGCTATGACTGGCTAATTGGTTTATGGGGTAAAAAATTTGTGGTATGTTGTGATGTTTGAAGTGAAGTGCTTTTGGAGGGAAACAATGAGATAATTAACTTACCTTTTTTGCTTTTGTTTTTTTGTGGTTTGTTTTTTTCTTTACCAGAGGTATGGAGAACTTGGTGGCTGGCTCCAACCTTCCTCCACTTTTTACAGATGAAGATGGATCTAAGGAAGGTAGTGAAATTACCGTAACTGGGTAAGCAACTACTTCTTTTTAACCTTTAGCTGATAGGTACTATCTCTAGACTTGCCAGGGAAACTGTTACAGTGGGAAGAGGGCATTCTAAGTAATTTAAACAAACAAATAAAACCAACAAAAATCCTACGACACTCCCTTGGCCTTCATAGAACATCACAGGACTCTAGGAGAAACCAGGACCCTTCTGAACGGATGGAAGTGATCACAAACTTTTCTTTAACATCTGTTTTTTCTAGGATTTTAGTCTTTAAGACAGATTTAGATAGCGTGATGGAGGCAGAGAGAGGGTGTGTATCTGTTGGCTATGGTGGTCCCTGCTAAATAAATTACTTTAATAAAGATATACTGTTCATCACTGATTTCTGAAAACCATTGAGAAACTGATGTCTTTCATTTTTGTCACACTGACTCTGCTTTTACAGATTGAAACAATGGCCTCTTTTAAAATCAAAATTACAAAAGAAGTTGCCTTTTAGGAATACATAGGATTCTTGCTGCGTTTTCATACTTGATTTTTGTTTTCTGTTTTGTAAAGCACCAAGCAATAATATTTAGAATTTGCAGGCAGGTAAAGCCCTGTAAAAATGAATATGGACACATTTACTTCAAGCAGGTCTGAATATGGATTTAGATATCTGGGACTGCAAACTTGCTGGTGCCAAATGAGGTACATGTTCAAATTAGGTTTGTGTTCAAGAGGTATTAATGTGTTGAATGAGCTTTCATCAGCTTTCGCTGCAAATGGCTACATCACATTGAAGTTTTTCCTGGATGTGTAGTTTACAAAGCTTCCCTGCTAAGGGGTAACAGACAGAAAAGCTGAAATGTTCTTCAAACCGTAACAGTGATTCTAAGAAACTGTATTGTTCCATTTTCTTTTTGATACACACCGAATGTAATTAACTTATAGGAGTGTGTATGTTTTGTTCCCTTTCTTCCTCTCTAATTGTTAGAAATATGAACTCAATGTGATATCTGAAAGTCAGGCATGGATCTCTCCAGCCCTTGTGTCTTTACCAGTAATTATGCCGCAATTGTTCATTATAGTGAGTAATGAAAATATGCTGTTCTCTCTATTTAAAGACAAAGTTTCCTGTAGGCATTCAACTAACAATTCTGTTAATATATCTCAGCTTTCTATAGCTGTATTCTATAGGAACAATTATTTTGAATATTTAAAATTTGGCATGAATGGAAGCAGCTGTAGATCTGAGTAAACAAACAAAGCTGACCTGAAGCATATGCTGCCATTATAGTAATTTTCATGAATGTAACTAGGCAAGGCCAAGTAATCTTTAGCTTGGCTGAAGAAGGGATTAGAATCTGAGATGAGTCCCAAAATCTTATATTAATTTGCCCACTGAGCACAGCGGTGAGAATGACTGTGGGGTTGTTGCCCCAAAATATATGCTCATCTCTATCTGCCTACCTTCAGAAATATTTCTGCATGCTTGGTTTTTTTCCCTTTTTTTTTTGTGGGTTTTTTTGTTTGTTGTTGTTGTTGTTGTTTTGGTTTGGGTTTTTTTGCCTCCAGGCAGCTTGCCCTTTCCTGGAGTATGGTTGATTGATAGAGCTCTTGCAGCAAAATTAAATAGTGGCCATTCAGGAGCCTGTTGCGAGCTAGTCATGTTTGTGCTTTAAATACCCACATGTATCAACAGGAGGTTATGTTGAATGAAGTTCAATCCAAAAATCATACAGAACCACAAACCTTTAAGTGTATTTGTGGAGAAAGATTAAATGCGTCCAGAAAGGTGTGTATTGGTTGAAGATGAAACCATTCATTTCAAATTCCTTATGGTATTTTTGAAGAAGTGTAGATTCATGCGTTCTGATCCAAACATTTACTTGCTTGACAGTTGTTTGTATAATCAAAAGCTTCACCAAAAATGAAACAAAATAACACTTCAAAAATCAAACTGTCTTTGAAAGTCCATAGTAACTGTGGTAGTTAGAGCAGTTGCTTGGATGGAACAGCCAGTTCTTCAAAAATTAGTCTTTAAAAATCTTTTTTTTTTTTTTCTTGCTAGTGTAAGAACTGAATGTATTTGCAACATTTTTGCATGTTTTAGAAGATTAGGGAGGAAGTGATTTAGCAATATGATGATTAATTTTTTTCTTTTGCTATTATATGCTTTTTCAGATTAGCTCATTCTGAGAGTTCATTCAGTGGTGGAACTTCACAGTCTGTGAATAACCCAGATTTGGTGGAGGATTTGTCACAGGTTCAACAGCTGCAAAATGAGTCCTCTAATACTGCTGAAAACACTGAGCAGAAGCCTGAGGAGGAGGTGAGATGAAATAATAGTGACTTCTCAATGAAGCAAAAGCATGGAGTTTTGTCATTATAGTTTGTCTTACCTACTCAGATTTTTTTGGATAGGCTCACAAATTTTCATCCATTTGCCATTTTCATCTTTTGATTCTCTCTAGTTTTCTCCTGTGTTGTACAACTGCACACAGATAGCCAAGGAAAGCTGGCAGTCATAATGTACAGAGAACACCATGCCTGTCTCTAGCTTAGCCAGCAGGGTCCACAGACTGGTACTGCATTCAGTCTTTTTCTGAAGACTCAATGGTCAGCTGCCACAGCTTACTTTATCTCATGTGAGTCAGGAAAGTGAGACCATTGTACTCTTCTGAGAGTAACTGGTGTCTTTGAGAGCATTATACTTACTACTTTAGATCATTCCTTGTGTACCATCCTGCACTGATTTTTTGGTAACTAAATCATGAAGGATCTGAAGTTTGACAAGAAAATGGTTTTGGTTTTTCTGATAGATGCATTTGATATTCCTCTTTGTAGTTTGTTTTCAGCTGTGAGGTCCTTGTCTAATTGAGGAAGTAGTAAAATCCCAGAAAGGAAACTAAAACTAACATGGTGATCTGGGTAGAGATTAGAAGTACTGAAATAGTTTTATGTACATAGTATAGGAAAATAGTCTTGTCCAGAGACTGCTATAGTAGTAGTATGAAGCCAAGAGGATGAATGGCAATTGTGTTATTCCTGTGAGCTCACAGTGTGCCACAGGCAAATCTTACAGTGGAGTTTGTTCATATCTCTATTGGATGTGATTTAGTGGGAAAGAAAGCCTATTGAGTAGATTAGAATAGAAAAGCCTATATATGGTCCTTTCACCTATATTTTGGGCACAAAATGCACAAAGGTGAAAGATTTGGAAGGGGTAAAATAGCTAGTTAACAATTGTTAACTAATACACAAAATCTTTCCAAACATGATTTTGAGGCAAATGACTGGAGGGGGGAGGGTATGTGAGGGTGAGAATAATTTTTTTTAAAAACCCAAACAAAAAAACAAGTAACAACAACAAAAAAAAATTGCAGTTGCATTAGCTAGGATGATAATTTCATGGGTTATCAAGCCTTACAGTTTTACAATCAGAAGTTGATGTAAATGTTATTTTATTGTCCATGTGGACCAGGAGAAACTGCAAACAACTTTTCACAATGAGACTTCTTTGGCTTTGCTTAGAGAAAAGTCATGATTGCTCTAAAGTAAGGTTTGAAACTTACATCCATGGAGAGGATGTATTGCAGCAACATACTCCCGATGAAAATGTTTGAGACATGAATATGTATTTCTTCCAGAGGTGGTAATTCTTTTCCTTCAATCTGAATTTTCTTCCATTTTCATTTTGCAGCAGCAAAGAACTAAACGAGGAGGCTGGGCCAAAGGGAGAAAGAGGAAGAAACCCCTTAGGGACACCAATGCCCCCAAATCCCCCCTCACAGGGTATGTACGATTCATGAATGAGCGTAGGGAGCAGCTTCGAGCGAAGAGGCCTGAAGTCCCTTTCCCAGAGATCACCAGGATGCTGGGCAATGAATGGAGTAAACTGCCTCCTGAGGAGAAACGGGTACCATTAAACTCCCTTTTCCTTGTTGGATTATGATCACTGTTAAATGGGAATATTGTTGTTTAGTGAGGAAGTTAACGCAGGCTTTTGATTAAAGTTGTGTTTAGGAATGTATTTCAAAATAAGGGGCACAGGTCCGCCAGAGTTCAAATAATGAACCCTGGTAGGGCTGTAGTGTCTCATTCAGGTGTGACTTGAGGAGAACCGTATCCTCTAGTGCAAGAATATATTCAGAACAGGGGGGATTGTTCTAGTGAGACATCCCATGGTTTATGTGATTCATGTGGATGTAACGCTGTACCTAACTTGCATACAGCTGAGACCTACTAGTTTCCAAGGCCAAAGCCATTGGAAGGATGGGGCAGGCATTTATTCACTGTGGCTGAGAAGAACTTGGCAGGATTTCAGAGCTGCTTGAAGGAGTTTGCAGTTCTGTTTATTTTACAAACTCACCAATGTATATAAACATCTGGTGTCTTAGAGTAAGACAAGCAGACCTGAAAGGACAGGTTACTGAAGGAGATGGTTAACACGAATAAACTTTTAGACAATGTTTTGAAGTATTGCTAGCCCTAGAAAGTAAGTTGAGATCTGTATGATGGACAGGACAGTGAGTGTTACGTATTCTAGTTTCTACACACGTTACCTTAGGAAAAGGTGGGGTTTTTCCCACCTTTCAGTCAGAATGGGATGTCTTCTAATTGGGACTTCTGTCGCCTTCTGCACTGTCTGATATGTGAATGAAGACTAAGGCAATGTTGGGTCTGGTTCTTTAACTCCTTCTGGAGTGGACTTCTTTATTGCTAATGGGTGTCTTACCATTCATACCTGATTGCTAATTGGAGATTACAGCAAAGCAGTAGTTAAATCACAGTGGAACTTTATGCTATCATACAAATTTATCAGGACATTTAAGCTTTTGAAATACTTAAAAGTTTTTATCACGGCTGGATGAAAAATGGGATGGTGCAAAAAACAAGAGTTCCTTTTGTTGCTTTTTACTAAGCTTGTAGAATACAAGTTATACAGAGATATTATAAAATGGTGTATAGGCATAGCATTTTAACCATAATGAAAAATGTGTGTCAAGGCAAAGCCGTTGATTTGGTAACACACCTGTAGTGAGAATGATGTTGCTGTCTGCTGGCAGAGGGGGGAAAGAGAATAAGACATTCTGCCCCTCTACCTCCTGTCCTTAACATATTCTTATCATGTCTGAGACAGATTTTTAACCTGAGGAAAAGGAGATTGAGTTCAGATCTCTATTCTATATGCTGTGTTTTAAATCCCCAGGGAATCTGTCCTTTTTGAGTAAAGCTGTGAGTCTCTAACCTATCACGGATCAGGGAAAGACTGCTAAGCACTTCCTTCCCTTCAGTTTCCACTGCCCTTTTTTATTAAGTCAGTGGAGGCCACTGCCAATTTGGAACCCACATCTAATACGACAGCCCAAAATTCTTGTTGAAGCTGAGTAAGCTTGATTTTGGTTAGCTAACAACTATGAAGTCATTCTCCAAGATCAAGCAGTGGAGTCATAGTATGCTACTGCAGTGCAGGTTACTGCCACATAATCCAGGGGAAAAGCATGTCTGACGTTCTGCTTTTGTGGCTGATCTCCAGTGATTAGCAAACTAGCTGTCTGATATAAAAGTTGAAGGGAAGGTCTCGCATTTCCCCTGTTCCAGCCCTGTAGTCTTGCTACTTGCCTTTGTATTTGGCGAGCATAAGGACAGGTCAGTTGAGCCGACAGGACTGACCAAACAGTGAGTCTCCCGCAGAAAAAGACTATTACTGTAATCATAAAGCAAACACCCTAATAATCAATCTTCTTGTTATTCCCCTGTATAGGGGAATATCTAATGAGATGTATAGATCTGCACTAGAAAACCTAGGACATCTACTTACAGGTAGTGCAGCAGAACTCATTCTTACTGATTCAAAACAATCCATACAAAACACAAGTTAAGGAGGAAAAACTTGTGTTGTTTGTAACTCAGTTACTACACTCTGAGCAGCACATTGCTGGAGATGGAAAAGAAGAATTAATGTCTTACGGAAGAATACAATGTCCAAAAGCAATGCAAACCCTGCATCACCACATTTGCACCCCACTCCAGAATGTTAACAATATCCTCAGCAGGGTCAAAACAATGTAGCAAATGCATGGAATTTATAACTGTTATGTGTATTGTTGTGATGACTTAATGAAAATAAAAGGCATACCAGGTGACTAAGGTTCTCTCTGTTTTAATACTTACTTTCATTGAATTTTAAGCTCATTGGGGGAAAAAATTGGGAAGGCAACTTTTTTCTTGAAAGCATCCCATTAGTAAGTGTTGTGACCACTCCTTAAATGGCTTTCAGTTCATCAGTTCTCCTAAAGAATTCTCTAGTTAAGCTCATTCCATTATGCAGATATGTGAAATATCTTCAGGCTAGGAAAAAAAAAAAAAAAAAAGATTTCTTTTAACCTAAATGCAGATAGCTTAAATTGATATAACCTAGGCTGTCTTATCTTTATGTTACTCTTTTCCAATAGCCATGATGTTTTGTTCACCTCTCAGATGGGCAAAGTGTGTGGTTGTAGAATGGTAGTGCTTTTTGTCATGGGGCGTGAAAACAAGAGTGTATTGGAACTTCACTGTTACAGATCTGAACCTTAAAGCATGTCTGTTAAGGCGTTCTTGTTTGACGGCATTTAATCTTGGCCACAGAAAGGCAATTCTTAAGTATTTGGTCTATAATGTGTAGGTAGTAATCAGTTGAGTTGAGTAGCTCAGTAGCAGGTGACTTGTAGGCCTAACAAAAAAGAGTTAACAGAATAGTGATTTGAATTTAAAAAAAAAAAAAAAGAGGGAGAAAATGGGACACCAGAATACAGTAATTTTATCCAGAAATCTTATGTCTTTTCATCTCACATACATTCTCATTGTTTCTTCATTCCTTTCCTGTTTGCATAGGTGAAATGGATCAGCACTTCATCTGACAAGTTGTTTTTCTTCCCTTCCTCCTGAAGGGGAGGAAACTCCCTGAAACTCTCGGACTTTTTTGTTTCAGCGATACCTTGATGAAGCAGATAGAGATAAGGAGCGTTATATGCGGGAGCTGGAGCAGTATCAGAAGACTGAAGCCTACAAAGTCTTTAGCAGGAAAGCACAGGACAGACAAAAAGGCAAATCACACAGACAAGGTATTGAATGGGACAAAAATATGTGCCTAGGTAGAATAATGGAAGAATCCCAGCTAGTCATATAGCCTCACACTCATTTAAAGCCTTTGATCTAAAGGCTTTTTAAAAAGTGAATGTGTTCTTTCTATGGCATTTGCATCAGCCAAGTGTTAAGTGATTAGATTTCTGTAAATTTAACTGTAGCTAGATTGTATTGGAGGATGTGTGCTAAAAGCATCAAAGTTAGACACAACTTCTATGTGATTTATTAGGGAAGCTGCACAAGTTTTCTGTCTTTAAGTGTTGTGTAACTGCTTTGGTTCTTGTTTTCTCAAATCTTGTGTATTTTGGGGGATTTCTTGTTTGTTTTTTCTTTTTCAGATGGAGCAAGACAGCCAGCCCATGATCATGAGGTAAACATCTTCATTCTACCCTTATGTCAGTGGACACATTTTTCAGATGATGCAAGCTTCTAGTGAAGTCAATAAAAAAATTAGTTTATGCCAGTTGAAGACCCTAATCAGAGGTTTAGAGTATGAATTCTTCCTCTTCCTATGCAGTTTTTGATCAAAAGTTAGAAACAACTGAGAACTCTTATGATCACATTAGTATGATGAAAACTAAATTTAGTAAATCTTGGGCAGGTACAAATGATCTAAGATAAAGTGGGAGTGTAGGGTACACTTAAAACAGTATAATTGAGCCTTTAAGTATCTGGTGTGTTAGAGGTTCAACTTGCAAAATTTTTACTTTGAAATTTTTCAAAGCAGAGAATTTTAATTATTCCTTGGTAAGTAAAAATTGAGGTAAAATGTACAAATAGCTTGGGACCTAGATAAACCTTCCAAGTTAGCACCTTTTAGGTTGCTGTTTTCAGGTACTGATTTTCTGCAGCAACATGAATGCTTGTGGCTTCTTGAGAAGATAATGGGTAAAGTAACCAAATCATTGGGAGATGTCTGGCTTAAACCTCCTCCTGCCTGCCCCCCCCCCCCACTTTTGCATATGTAAATATTGGACAAGAGTAATAATGCATGGAGGTAAGATGCCTGTGCTTTTGTTGATGAGACATATCACAAATCTTGTGCATCCTGGCTGACTATGCTATCTCTTCCCCTGAAGTGCTGAAACTCTCTCCAGTTGTATTACCTAGGGCCACAGAGCTTCTTTCATGGTTGCCAATAAATTGCAAACAAAAAGCAATGAAACATCTTGTTTATACACAGCCTCTTCACTTGTAAGCAATAGGCCTTTCTGAAAGATCTGTTTTTCTTTGTGAGGTTTTTTGCCTTGGGAAAGCAATCAAGTTGCTTTTTAATGTGTTCATTACAATAGTGACAAGGCTGTGCACTGCTGAGAGGCAACTACTGGTCTTGTCTACTTTTAAGGAAAATAAGTTTCACTTCCAGGAAAATACTTTAGTAGCATGTTTTCGATATGCCTTTTTATTAACTCTTAAAGGAAGTACTTGCAGTAAGATTAATCTTTAGAAGTACATGGTTTCCAGGATTTCTGGTTCTACAGTCACTGAATCGAAGTTTGTCTTTAATTGTACAAAGACAGATTACTGAAGGCTTCAAGTTCTAGGTTGGTTGTGATGTTTACATAACCTTTAAATTATACAGGTGGCAACCTACAAATTCAGAGTCTTACCTCTCATCCTTCTAACTGGAGCTGTCATTGCTGAAATCTCACATCATAAATGCAGTTAAAAAGGAGTCCTCCATACCCTGTGGGGCTTTTAAGCTTCATCAGATAGTTATTATATAGTTGAGCTAGCAACATGTTGGGCAGGCATCCTCTTCTGAAAGCATGCGCCTCTGCATAGCATTTTTCACCTTTATATTATAAAATTCCACATGCTTATCACCTGATGCTTTCACATCTTTTCTGCAAGGGAGTCAGGTATTACAATCCTGCATAGGCAAGGAACAAGCAGAAAAGATTTGGACTGCTTTTAGAAGTATATACTCAAGTTGTTACTGGAAGCAAGACTAAAGCTTTTTGTTGTCTTGCTGCTTTCTCTTATGCCACACTTAGGTTTTCATGATTTAGTTTCTGTGAATCAGTGTTGAACTGATTTTAAATATTGTATATAGAGATGACCTCAAAAAAATATTGCAGTGAACAATTCAAATACTAGTTGTAATGAAAAATAACAAAAAGATGAGGCTTGGAAGGTGAGACAAAACTTATAGTAGGCAGATATAGCCATGAAAAACATGGAGACACTGTCTTAATAAGCACATCTGTGGGCATGAAATAGAACGTTTTTCTTCCTCCAAATCCTAGTTTTATAAATATAACATATAGCAATACACACTAGAACTATTAATTGTAATCAGCAGTGATCAAACCATTGTTAATTGTTCTCCATTGTTCTGTTACTGCTTCTTTCCTCAAGTTTGATTTGGACTAGGTCTAGCTTCATGCAGTCAGTTACACAACATTTTACTGGCAAGATTTCAAAGATTTATACACACATGAGGGAGATTAGACATTGCCTGGTAGTATTTACAACCTTTGAAGATAGGGCAATGGCTGCTGTAGTGTGAGCACACAGGAAGAAAACCATCTACTCTGAGAATGTTTTGGTTTTTTTTTTTTTTTTATGAAGTAGTGTATTTATTATATCCGTTCCTTACATTGTCTGCACCTGACTGTACAAGGAAGGATGAGCTTAAACCCTGCAAAATCTCAGCTTTTTCTTTACAGTACTTCACCGTGTCTCTAAGAACTTCAGGTCTGATTTGTTCAGGAACTTCCAAAGATCAACCTCAGTTTTAATAACCAGATGAGAATTATTTGTTGACAGTCTGGAATCATCTCAATCTTATTTAAAGCAAATGATAGAAACAATGATTTTGGTTCTCTCTTGATTTGAGGGATGACAAAGTGATATGCAACCTGAACAGACTGGGGCTTTTCAATAGGAGGTAATCAAAACCTTATGATTTTAATCCTGAGTGAACCTTAGAGTGGCTTAAGTACTTCAGAGTTCTCAAGAGGATCTTTTACATGCTGGGTAATGTATTCTGTAATAGAAGAGCGCTGATGGCTTTCATTGTCACTCTTCTGTTTAGTAGAATTTCTTGGTTGCCTTTCAGAAGCTGAACAGTTTCATCTAATTGCTTTAGTATTTTGTTGGTTTTACTTGAAGAACCTGTATCCTAGGGCTGCAAATAGAATACCCTTTCCTCTTCACACTACCCTCTCCCCCACCATCTATTTTCTAAGAGCCAGCGATGATCCACATCAGTGCCTATTTGCACACAGGTAGCAATAGTAAGTGTGAATTAGAACATCTAAGATGGATGTCCTATAAGTGTTTTAACCAAGCTTCGTAACTGCCAGCATTTCTTAGTGCACATTAATGCTGAGATCCTAGATTTTGGGGGTGAGATTAATTCCTAGCCATCTAGGGAGTATTCAGACAAAATGAATGCATTATGCACACTTCTGTACATGACTTCTTATTTCTAAATAAATACCCTTCAGACTTTTTCCTTATAGTAGCAAGTATCAAAACTTCAGTGAAGAACACATGTGATCATGAACCCCTAGCGACACCGCACTGTGACTCACAGAGCTGGGAAGGTTTGTTCCCCCTCCCTCTAGTCCTGCCTGTTTCTAGTGCATTTTCGGTTGATTCAGGCCAAGTGATTTGAGTTCTCACTCAGCAGATACAGAACTTCCCAGCTGTAATTCTACCAGACAATAAAACTCAGCTTATCTTTTACTTTAAAAACTATCAATTGACAGTCTCCTCAGGTACAGATAGAGTATCTGAATTTCCATCTAGTCTTGTCTATCTTGGGTGACTGCCAAATGGCATTCAGCTCACCCCATCTAGCCCCTTTATATAGCAGACACCAATATTCTTGAGCTCAGGTGCCAGAATTCCCTTATCAGCTGTTAAACATTTATGTTTTCTGCTGGGCACCAAATCATTTTTGACACTACATAATTTTGGAGGATGAGTTTGTGGTATGTTATCAACTGTGGTGTTTGAGAGGTTTGAAAACCATTTGTTCTCCACAGGCGTTCTCTCGTGCTTAACTTTATTTCTATATAAAGTAACAGGTTGGTTGTAGTTACTGCAGTATATCAAACTGAATTTGCATTGGCTTTGTCAATAACAATGCAGGCTTTAAAGCAAGCATTAATTCCCATTGATTTTGACATGCAGAAATGGTGACTGGAGTATATTATGGTAGTTTTTTTTTTTCTTGAGTCAAATTAAGTTTTTTAGTTTTTTTGACTAAGTTACAGAGCATTTCCTGATTTAAAAGTTTTTTTTAAAGAAAGCGTATTATAGTCACAAATGATAAATTGGCATCAAATCTTCTGCACTTGAAATGCTTTCTTAGTTTTTAATAGCCTCAAGTTCCCATAGTTGAATTCACCAACTTTATCAGAAATTAGGTGAAGAGATCTGAAAGTTGACAGGGAAACCCTTGACTACAGGCTTTATCTTAAGATGACAAACTTCTCTTGTGTCTTAAAGTGAAAAAATTTTGCAGTGTTTGGTTTTGCAGTATGCAGGAGGCAACAGTCCAGTTCCTTGAAGTCCTCACATTAATGCATACCTGCCATAGCCATGGTGAACGACTGCCTTCTAACAGCAAAATATGCCTATAAGTATTCACCTTTATCCTTCCAAGATACTACATGTTCTCTAAGCAGGTGTTCTGCATAGACTCTTACAAATTGCGTTCATACACTTTGTTTTCAATAGTGGCAGCATCCATCTAAATGTTTCAAAAAAGATGTGGCTTGCTTGAAGCACTGTGCAGCTCCCATCTCTTTTGGAGCCAAAATGCATCTCTCTTCCAGTTTGGAACAGACATGTGGAATTGGTACACTGTGGAAAAGTTGCTTATTTTTTCTTTAGTTGTTGTTTTTCCTGTCTGTTTTCTTTTTTGTTTTGGTAGTGAAAGACAAAGAACCATGAAACTTACTGTGTGGTTTTGCTCACTTCATCTCCTCTTTGTCAATATACCTATATAGATTATTTCAGAACGTGTCAGTTGGTTGATGGTGGAATGCTTTCCAGTGGAAAATATAAATGAATTCAGGTAGTTTTAAAACTGAATGATTCTGATGTGTAATGTCATTAGGGTGAAAGGGTATATTTTAGTATGTTATGTGATATTTTTTGATAATTATATTTGGCCTTTATTAAACCTGTATCTTAAAAAGCTGAGACCTGTGCTTTGGCCTTTCTTGGTAGGAGCTGGAAGTGTCTTCAATCCTTCCAGCTCTTTATCTGCTTCATTTTTTTTTTTCCTCCCTTCTCTTTCTATTGATCAAAACAATTTCATGAATTCCGAAAACAAACACTAATTAGCTATGTATTACTCTTTCTTTTGTAGAAAGAAGCAGATACAAAGGAGAGATCTGTTTTTGATATTCCAATCTTCACAGAAGAGTTCCTGAATCATAGTAAAGGTAAGTTAAACTTTTGCAGGGCCCCCCTCTTTGCTTTTCCAAAGTTTTTTCCAGGGGCTGTCCAGCTGAAGAGTCCTTGCACTCTCCCATCTCAGCTCAAGTAATGACTTGGGTATAGTTGATCAGTGTTTCTGACACTGCCTTACCTCTGTACTAACACAATGGCTGCAACAGCAGTTTTTCCTGGTTTCGTTATCCAAAACTATCCTTTTAGGAGAATGTTCCTGATGTTTAAACTCCACTTGGTGTTATTCCAGCCAGTCCAAGCTGGATCTGCTGTTCTATAGGATTAAGAAATACCTGAGATACAGCACGATGATGATTCAGGCTAGTTAGCAGTATTTTATTTTATTTTCCCCTTGATATGTGGAAGATTCCACTGATACGTTTTCTGCTGCTCTATTTGGTTTTCGTAGCTGCGTGTCCCAAGAGTTTAGGATTTTTTCCCAGATTTCCTGGAGACTTTCTTAACTGAACAGGACTCAGATTCTTTTCCTGATGATCAATAGAAATGTATTTTTGTAACCGGTATCTCGTCTGTAGGCCCCTTAACCACTGCAGCTAAGCTATGTCGTACTAAGTGCATTTGAAATCAAGTCTTGCGGTCTTCCTTCCTAATCAGTTGCCCTATTCATTTCCATTCTGATGCTTTGAATGTCTTCTAATTTGTCTATCTCTAGAAATTAAGTCTATTTAAGTACTACTGTAGGCACTATTGGCACTCCATGATATGATGCTTTTTCATCTATAAACCAAAACTGCACCATTTGTGATCATCAGTTGAGCGCTCTAGAACATTCCGCTTCATTGCCTACCAATCATAGATACTTTTTTTTATAGTTTTTTGACTACATGGGAGTGGGTTGATATTCACAGCACGTGAAGCTGAGCTGCGGCAGCTGCGTAAGTCCAACATGGAGTTTGAGGAGAGGAATGCTGCTCTGCAGAAACATGTTGAGAGTATGCGTACTGCGGTGGAGAAATTGGAGGTGGATGTGATACAAGAGCGGAGCCGCAACACAGTGCTGCAACAGCATCTAGAGACCTTACGCCAAGCACTCACAACCAGCTTTGCTGGAGTCCCGCTACCAGGTAAGACCTTTTTTCCTTATGACTGACATGTTAAATTTAACTTCTAATGTTTATAAGATGTTGTGAATTTACAACAGGTGGCCTGCTGCTGTAGTTCTATGGTCTTGGCTGTTTCTGAGCTTTCGTTGTATTAGATAATGAAATCTTAAAATGCGTGCAGGGGAAGGTTTAGTGTCAGTGCTTTATTTCATCTTGGTGGGTTTTTTTTCTTAATGCTCTTGTTCTTCTTAATAAAATGAGACACATACTCAGTCCTTGCTCTCCTTCACTTGTTTTGTGAAAATGTTAGTAAATAGAAAAGGGAGGACCTGCAAGTTCCTTGATTAAAAGAAAGGCTGCATCTGTTTTGTCAGATGCCAGGGAATCCACTTAGATTCTATGAATGCTTAGCTGAAAGAGTTTTTTTATAATCAACTATGAGACTCAAATCAAAGAAAATAATGCTTCATTAGTCCTGATATCCTTGGAACTATTCACTTTGTGTAGTTAGGAGGACATAGTTTTACAGAATCTATCACAAGAGGTGGTGCATGGCAAAATCACCTCCTATACCAGTTTGCATGTTGGTACAATTTGCTCTTAGCATAGTCTTAACTTTTTGGAATTGCTGTGGTAATCTAAATATTCTGTGGCTCATTTTACTATGTTAACTATAGGTAGCGGGGAAACACCTACGATGGAAACTATTGATTCCTACATGAATAGGCTGCACAGTATTATTATGGCTAACCCACAAGAGAATGAGAACCTCATAGCCACAGTCCGAGATGTGGTAAACAGACTTGAACGCTAGTGACTGGGTAAGTGTTTGCTCTTAGGCTCCTTTTGTTTGGCGGCTACTTGGTACCTCTGGCACTTGTCCTGACTCTGATTCTTGTGCTGATCACCACATTGTACAATCAAAAAGTTTTTCTTCCTCAAAGCCACAGAAGCAGGTTGACTTAATGAAAGTCAAATGGGGTTGAAAATATCCAACAGCATTAAAGGGTTCTGCAGTTCCCCTTAGTTCCAAGGTATTTTGTATAAAGACATAAATAGCTGTTTGTCCTATTATTCATTGTATTTGTGTAAGGTGTATAAGAATACTGTCAGAATGGTGTAAAAAAGAAAAATTATTTTAAGTTTTAGTAACAGGGTAACTAATATAGAAGAAAGTTCCTTTCTTGAGTGAAGTAAACCTGAAAAATTCTGCATTAATTGTGGAATGTGATGGTCACAGAGAAATTTTTTTTTGTCTCAAGAGGTTACAGGTGAGCTCCACTCCATTGTAAACTGAAAGTACCCTACCACTACCTGCTCTGTAGCACCTGTAGTCAAGCTCTTCTGGTTATGAAGGTTTACATGTAAATGAAGCACTGATGTGTAGTTCAGGCTATATGTAGCATTTGCCAAGACTCGCGTGATCATGTGGTTTATTCATAGATTATTACTTGAGCTCATGATTCTGTATTTTTGCTTCTGTTTAACAGCTTAGAAAACTATAGGGAACTGAGTAGAAAAGCAAATCAAAAATCAACAAAGAAATACCAGTCTTTCTGCATTACTGTACTTCTTTGCATTTCCCGCACCACTTCCCTACTTCCCCCATGACACACAGCACCAGACAGCCATTAGGAGTTTGCCTACTTCTATTTTAACTATGTACATACCTGCATTCTTTAAGCATTTATTATGTGGCGATCTACTGTACATGTCTTGAATAGTGTTTAGAAATGCAAATAAAGCTGCGTTGTGCTATCTGCAAATATGAAGACAGGGCTTTTTATCCTTTCTGATTCTGACCTTTTGTGATACTGTGTAGAACAGTTAATTACACTTCCCCATTATAGTGTGGTTTAAGCTAAAAGATCATTGTCCTTCCAGAGGGTAGCCAGATGGAACGGACTATAGTTCTAAGAGATGACTGAGCTCCCAGCAGAATAAAGAAGTGCCTTTACTGCTGCTATTTATGAAAGGAACAGCTTGTCGATCCAGGTCTGGGATTTTTCAGTAGCTCATCAACCTCCTCATTTTCGTATACTGCTTTCAATTAGCACTCAAGCTCAGAAGGAGAATCGGGGGATGGGGAGGTTTTACAGAATGTGTAAGAGGGAAAGCAGTTTCTCATCAATCAGTTATTAGAAGGGCATGCCAGGCTCTGAAATAGATGTTTGTCCTTTAAGCACCTTGCCAGAAAAATCGTTATCTCAAGGCTACTAGAATCTAGACTTTGGTTTTCATGTCAGGCAGATTCATATTTCCTAAACGATGGACAATTTCTGTGTTCCTAAAAATGCAAATATCTTTTTCTTAGATAAACTGGATTCAGCTGTAGTTGGTTTGAAACTAAAAAAAATTCTTGCTTTAGAATTCTTCCTTCCACTTTACAGTTGAAAAATAGGACTCCATTCATTTCTTCCCCCTCCCACCAATACCTTCCCTCTTTTCAGCACCAAGACAGTGTGAGGCAATTAAAACTGTGATTAATAATCACCTAGTTTTCTTATATAAAGACATACATTTAAGTGGCTATCATAATCAAGAAATTCGTAGAGCTATTAATTACACTAAGGCAATGATTATATTTTGTGACAAAATCATAGAAGGGAGAAGGTTGGCCTTTATTGGATGCAAACCTAGAAAAAAGTAGAGCTTCCCTAGAAAAGAGGGAAGCTTTGGATAGAGAGATTCAGCTGGCATCCGATAAACTGTATCAGCAAACTGTCATCATCATTGTCCCTTTATTAACATGCATATGAAGTATATTCTCCTAAATGTAATCTCTATCAACCAAATACTCTGTTTGAGGTTGAGACACATTACAAATCAATTTCATAGAAAAATCTATTTATTATGATACTCTTGAAAACCACTGTGCTTCACAGAACTGAAGAGGTTTTTGGTGGCTTAGTACATTGTATTTAGTGACTACTTGACTATACTAGTGAATGTTTTTGTTTTTCTGTACTGCATGGTAAAGAGGACTTCTTTGTGCAAACAGTATATGGGGTAGAAGAGGAAGTTTTTCTTTATTTAGCACTGTTCTTTGGATGGAAACAAGAATCCAGTTACAGTTCTGTCTCTATAGGCTTCTTTGTGATACTTCTTAATATTTTGTTTTTAGATAAAGCATGCAAAAAAGTAATGTCACAGTGCCTATTTAGTCCTGGCAGACTGTAGTCTTCTAACACTTATTTTTCTGTTTTGTCTGCAGGTCTCGTGACCCAGGGATGCTTTACAAAATTTTTTTGGCCAGTGTGGAATAAGAAGCCATGAGGGAAAGACTAGGGGTGGGAGGCAGAATTGCAGGTTTGTCCTGGTCCCTGCCTTTGTGGTTTGTCAGTGAGACAAACAGATCAATGCATTGAAAGGTCTTAAGAAGCCACGGACACCACCCACTAAACATTTGGAACTGTCCTCTGTGTAAACATTTAAGAGCATGCAACTTTTGTGCAATCTTCAGTTTCTTATTAATTTTGCTGGGTGTGAGGGTGCATATGTTCTGTGGACTGGCTGACTATGGAGATGAAATCTCACAATTCGTGAAATGAAGTCAGCCTATGTGCTGTAGTAATAACTTTAATGTGTTATATTGCCTAATGTCTTCTAGTGTCTTTTTATTTTGTTTTCATGTTTATCTTGTGGGATTACTTTCCTCGACTTTAGTTTTCTTCGTTTGATCTTGTTATCTGATACTTGCAGTACTAGATAGCAACGCTTGTGTTCTCTGCTATAACAGGCAGTCTTCCTTGGTGCACTGTCTTGTCCTACCCTGCCTGCTATGTTTATATAAGCTTTTCTTAAGCATAATCCTGGGGTTTTTGTTTTTTGTGTTAGCCTGCAACTTCTACAATGTGAGTTTGCTCCCTGCTAGGGACTGACTGTGGTTGATGCTTTGTGACTTGATTCTACTAAGAGACAGACTTCCTCTCTCCCCTCTCTCTTCAAGCACCTCTCTTGCACATAGCATCCTGCGCTTCTGTGAAAGTCTCCTGTTATCTCTTGAAAATGTTTGGTGGAGCATTTTACTACCGCAAAGGTCAGTGGTAATCAAGATGGAAAGTGAAACGTTGGTTCTTCTCAGCAGGGAGAATAGGAATCTCCATTTTAGACTAAAACCACAAAGCTTGCCTTCCTCTGATATGTTGCTCATTCTAATTTAACGTTACTGCCTCGTTTTTGAGAGAATGATCTCATGGTGAGAGCGGTATCCTATAAAAGGAGAAATGGGCAGGGGGATTGCAATGTTTTTCTGCCCTTCTAAATCACAATGCTGGGAAGCAATATGCCTGGAAACAGCACATGTATTTTTGCATGAATTATTAGAGCAGAGAAGGTTATTAGCAGCTAGGTCCACAGAGCAGCCTGCAGAATTCTACATTACAGCCCACAGCCCATAAGTGCTTTCACCTTTTGTACAGTTAAAGTACAGCCTGTGGAGCCTATAGCATTCAGCATATTATGTTTGAATATGACCTAAATGGCCTTTCACTTACATCAAGTAGAACTCTGCATGCTAGAGTCTGTAATCTTGCTGAGCTATGCTGCATCTCCTGTCAAAGATGAAGGCACCTACTGTCTTGCACTAACTTATGCAAATCGTTTGCTGCCCTTTGGTTCCTGTCAAATTGTTAATTCAGACATTGGTTGAGCACTTGTTGGACATCTCTGGGCTTTATGGTAATCATTGAAATGCTCTTTCTTCCACGTGACAATCTCCTTGCTCCTTCTTGAGAAATCTTTAAGATTTCCCTGTTAAGAATTGGAGAGTGCTTTCATTACTGGAGTGCATTGCAGTCAGCATCGCTTTAGTGTATCTGTAATGCAAGTATTTGAAGATTAAAAAGCAGTTTCTTCTTCCCATGCTGTACACATGGACTTCATGCTTGCCTGAAGCCATCTCCAGGTCAACACCTTGTATGTCGGGTCTCTGCTTACTCATGGGCTTATTGCTGTAGCGAAGCCGCAAGGATTTCCATGTACATTTAAGTCTTCCTTCAGGGAGGAAACTCCTTTCTCTTGTCTTCAGTCTCCTTTTCAGACTTCACAAAAACGAACCTCAATTTGCTGCATTGACCTCAATTTTCCTTAGCACGGATGATACCAACTGATGTTGGCATGAACTTCTTTTAGTGAATGCTATAACAAATATTGTGCGGGGAGAAAATCCTACAGGTTAATAATGTATCCAGAAGAAGCACCGATACCTTCATCTCTTGTGTGTATCTTGTTTTTTAGAATTGCTGTTATCTGACTTTTATTGAAGTGGCCAAAATGCACTGCATAGCCAAAAGTTGATTGACAAAATTCTAAAGTTCAGTCTGTGGCATCTTACCTGATACCTGGAGTTGTATACCATAAAGACTCCAGAAATTGCTATGTAATACGATAGTAGGATGCAATTCCAGGCTGCGACATACACATACCATAAATAAGGTATGGGTGACTGTAGGCTGCCCCTGCTTACATAAATTCAATGCAGCTATCAGCTCGTGGCATACTGCTAATACATCATTCTGTTGAGTAGCATGCAAGTGTTATGGGTTAGGAAATTTAAGGTGATATTATTAGCTGGGGGCTGACAAATCTCTTGCTTTTTCCCACAAGGAAGGAGGGGAGGTGGTATACTCATAGCATCTGGGGGAAGACTAAGTTCTTGCTCACCAATGATGTGACAGATGATGTTTTGTCTCATTAAGAAGCTGCTTATTTACATCGATTTACCCTATAAAAATGGATTTCATCTTTCCAGTGTTTTCTGAATGTCACTTCAGTTTACATTTTTCAATGTTGGCTGATAAAAAAAACAGTAAAAAATGAAGTGCATGTCAAGGAGAAGAGCAGGATAAAATGCTTTTGTCACTTAGAGAAATGTTAAGAGAAATACATGAAAACAGAATCCATTTGCTGGATTAATGTGTTTGGAATTGTTGAGATGCCAAGTTTTCTGTACAATGTTTTTGTAATTAAACTTTGGACTTCCTTTGTTTCTAAGAAGTTGATGTGCTTGTTTGACACTTGCTTCATTAAAATTGTTCAACATTGAATCCGTTCTGATTCAATTTTAACTGCATTTTCATGAAAGAACTATTACTAGCACTGCTCTTATCTGAGAGATTTTGGCAACTTCATGTTAACCTTTGAAAGGAAATAATGTACCTCTTCCCCCTCCCCATCCTCAGTGTATCTCCCTCTGAAAAAGCTAAAGGAAGTAATTATTATTTACAGTGATGAAGACTTCAGAGATCTTTGGTTATAGCTAATTGTTATCAGTGCTCTTCCTGTCATCTTTGTTCCTCAACTTGAGTAACTTTTAAAATGTCATGGGTGTCTCTCCCTCAGCCCTTTTTTTGACATCCTTGTCTTCCGTTGTCTTCCCTAATTTTCCACTGCCATATTTATTTTCTCTTCCTATAAGAACCTTCTGTATCATAGCTATTGCCCCCCTCTTGTTTTTTTTTTTTTCCCCCTACTACATTTTTATCATATATCTTCCCTTCTGCTTGCTGAGTATGGAGCCAAACTGTAGCCTCATGAAATGTGCTTTGGGTGTAGATCTTCTGTGGAGGAGTTTTGGATGACTTCAGCCTGCACTGGTGCTCTTTTAGAGGTCACAGTGCTGTAAGCAACCATGTCTTTGTGTTGTTTTTGTGGTCATGTCTCATTTTGATTGCCAAATTAATGCCTGGTCTTTCTGTATACCAACAGGCTTGGTTCAGATACTATCTGCTGTCTGGGGTAGACTGCACATTTAGATTTACAGTGCTTTGGAGATTTTGTCAAATGTGAATTAGGAAATGATAAAGATACAAAAAATAGAAGAAATATAGGGAAATCTCCTATAGGAGAATAGCTGCGATGTGACAATGGCTAGTCCAGAGTTGGAGAAGGTAACAGCAAAACAGATGTACGCCTGGAGGGAAAAAATAAGAGCAAAGCAGCAATAAGTTCATTATAAGACAAAGATCTAGTTCTTTTCTAACCTGTGGTGCTGTATGTGGCATCAGGAGCAGTTGGTGGTCAACCATGCTCAATTTAAAATAATGTAGTGTAGTGTAATATTTCTGCTGTTTTTTCCTGTTTGTTACCCCGTTTACTTTGCTGCTGGTCAATTGGACTGATGATTAATAATAATTTAAGGGAAGTTAGGGGGTTTTGAGGGCTTTGGGCTTTTTTAAGAGGGAGAGATTGCTTCCTCTTTCCTAAGGCAGATTCCTGTTGGTAATGTATTTGGAATCTGAAATTAGGTCATCTTTTAATCTTTTGGTTCAGTTGTATCCTTAAGAGTCAGGAGTACACTCAGGCTTGTCCTTCTACCATAGAATTTTTCGGCTTGTGAACCATGAGTAGTTTTGCTGCGCCTTTCTTCCTCATTGCTCATAGTATTGAGGGTTTTTTTAAATGTTTTTAACTTCAACTTTTTGGAATATATTCATGATTTGCCAGCTTAATTGCAAAATCTCTGGATTTTGTATGTATTGTACCATTTTGGTATGTGGTAAAGTATCCACATCCATTATGTAATACAAGGAATAACATTTATATAAACTGATTCATGGGTTATATTAATAAACCTGTAATTGTTATGCTGTGGGTTCTTGGTTTTTATCATTTAATGTGTAGACACTGATGGTTTGTGTATCTGAAGATACAGAAATTGGAGTTCGTGAAGGTTTGAAGCTTAAGTCCATATTATTACTGGCATATGGAGACCTGTGCAATGCAAGTTTTTGAATATTTGTACTAAAGTAATGACAAGCAAATGCAGCTAGAATATTTCTAAGTACAATTTTAGAGGGCAGCAAGAGGGAAAGGTGGCTGTACAAATCATACTAGACATGAAAATACACGGCTTCCTATTCTGAAGTTTTCTAACTCAGAGGAAAACTTAGAGAAGAGAGGTGTGGTGCTGATGGCAGATACCACTGAACTATGGCTACTGTGTGATCTCTATTACAAAGTTGTGTTGGGAGGGAGATGGGACAAATGATTTGACTTAAGTTTCACCCCAGTACGAGGACAAATGCAACACAGGTTTATAGTGTTTGTGTGTATTTGTAGCCACAACACAGTGTTCTGACAGCTCTGTAGCTTTGCAAATGTTTGTTTTAAACTATCCAGATTTTATTTGCACTAATAAGGGAAACTTCGTACTGAAATGCCATCAGTTCTGTTAGTTCGTGAAGTGCTGAAGTAATACTTGAAAAGATACGTGAAGAGATAGAGAAGTAGAGAAACAATGCAGAAGGGATTGCTTGTTTAGTTGAGGGGAGAATTGGGTCATGTGAAAATAGTTAAACTAGGGTTTTAGGTCCTGATCCTGAAGTGCTTAAGCATGAGGTCAACTTTATACTTGTGAATGGTTCCACGGAGTTGACTAGACTTACACTCATAAAAATTGATTCCACAAATTACTTGCCACATTGGTGCTATAGATCAGAAACAGGAAGAAAAAATAATGAAGCACATTTTAAAACAAAAATCATGAGGAAGCATGTATTCTTCAAAAAATATCTGGAACTACTTATTTAATGAGAATACATTTAAGAAAGTACTGAAAACAGTGTAACCAGTTAACCTATTAATGGGATTTGAAGCCACTGCATGTTGCTAACCAGGTATGTTGTTCTATTTAGAATGCTCCTTTTCCTTTGTGTCCTTTATGCTGTGTCTTTATACCCAGGTTTGTGTCATCAGAAATTAAGCACCATCCTCCTTTATAAGTATATGTAAATAATTCACTGGTATTGGAAACTGTTCTATGTAGCCAAACAAACATGCCCTAGTTTGCATGTTTTAGCGGAAGAGAACATGTTCTCTTTTAATATGATAAATAGTATGGTGGGATTCTGAAGGGGCCTGCTGGGGCTTCCAGCAGTTCATAATAGTAACATGGGACAAATTATTTTTGCAATACTAAAAGGAAAGTTGTTTTATGTTAGAGATTGTGGAAATACAGGGTTCTCCAAGAAAGTGTAGGTATCAGTATATTTTGCCAATTTGTTAGGCAGGTTGCTGTGGCATGTGGAAACGAAAATTTTGATTGAAGAGTTGAGAAGCTCTCTGGTTTTAATAAACGGGAAACCTTGATTCTCCGGTTGATAACTGGAAAAGATTCCAGCTGGTTACAAGTACTACTGTTTATAAAATATAAGCTTTAGGAAAAGTAAGTAAAGGGAATTATGAAGAACATAAGCAGGATACTCTTCCAGACTTACTAACATGCATATGCTTAATTTAAATATTGTAAGCATAAATATTTAAGCAATCTGTTAAAATTCATTCCTTATGTGCATATCTGCTCAGGCCTGGCAGGGTTCTGGTGTTGATTTACTCTGGCCCCATAGCTGTCCCTGTGCTTGTGCTAGTACAGTGTGGTTGAAAAATTTGGTCTTGTTGATATTAAATCATAATGGTGTGTATATTATTGAATTGATGCAAGTTATTTTAAGATACAAGAGCATTCTAAGATCCTCTGCTTTCTCTTTCCCTGTTGATTAAATGGTTCATCTCCTAAAGTTGTTAAATACTACTGTTTACATGTTTGTAGCTTTGGTCACTCATGTGAAAGGCATTCTCACTTTTCTCTAGAAGTATGTCTGTGCATTGAAGTCCATCTGATCTTTTTGTTTATGAATTTGGATTCTAAATACTTACATATAAAGAGTTCTGCCTGTCCAAATCCTTGGCTGCTAGATATCCGTCTGGCTTCCTTTAATTGAGTAGAAGAATGATACATCAACTGCATACTTGGCTATCTGGGAATCAGAAAGAGGTCTAGTTTTCTTTCTGGTGTAATAGTACCATGGGATTTCTCTCTCTATCTCATATTGGCAGTTTTAGTTTTATTAAATCTGTTCTAGTCTTACTCAAGAGAGAATTCCCTCATCTAATTTATTTGAAATAATATTGCTTAAGCCCAGGACACTTGCAGAGAGATCCCAAGCTAAAATTTTATGCCTAGAAACATACTGTTTCAACCCCTCACCCTTCAAAATGGATGTTAACAACTGTATTAGTATTCTAATTCTTCTCAGAGGAAGTTTCTTTTCCTCTATGACACTTCAAATCCTGCCCAAGTTGTTTTCGTTTCTTTAATGTTGGAGGAAGAGAAGTAAACTGTTTGGACTGGGGAAAGAGATGCAGGAAGTATATCAGAAGTGCAAGCCAGCAGGATGGCTGAGTCCAGGAGAGTGAAAAGCCTCTGGAAGATTGATCTAATGCCTTTCCCAGAAAGGTCTGTGGCTTTTTTAGCATGAATATTGTATATGCTCTGAAACAGCAGTACATGTGCTGTTTTCCTTGTATGTAAGTATGAATTATGGAGGGTGTCCTCAAAAGATTTCAATTCTTTTAAAACGCTTCTACAGAAGTAGAGGGTCTGCTCCTTTAGAAGAAATGTAGCTGTATACTGTCATATGCTATGGACTTGATATGCAGGAGGGAAGGGTGTCACTTTTCTGTTTACTAGCATTAATGATGAGTGGCCCTGGCATATGTAAATGCACAGAGTCAAATTCTGTTTACAACCCATTTTTTTCCAAAAAGGGTGAGTAAGAATTACCTTCTACCCTCACCCCATTAAAAATCCGTTAAGGGACTTTGTAGGATAAGGACAGAAGGAATAAGAGGATACAAGAATAGAATTTGCATTTATTCTTGAGGTTAATGTTCACCTACTGCCAGTGGAGAAATGGTTGAGTTTTTAGTCTCAGTAAGTTTGGATTCAGACCTGCAGATTCCTTACATTCTTGAAGTGCTTTTGGGCAGAAAAAGTAGCAAATGTGAAAATGGAGTTCCAGCTGCACCCTAGTTTCAGGACTTCATGGTTATGTGGTAAATGTGTATTTCCAGATGTCTGAAATATCTATCCACACAAGGGAAGGAACCCATTTTCTACTGGGGGAAGCGGTGCCCTCTAATGATAAGTCTTGGTATCTCAAAATCAGAGTGAAAAAGTCTGTTAGTAGGAGCCAGAGCCAGAGAGCTTCTGCGTGTGGAAACTTAAGTCAGTTCCCTGGTTTTGTTCTGGGCAGATGGTAGTTTCTTGGTTGTTTTTTTTTGTTTTGGTTTGTTTGTTGGGTTTTTTAAAAATTATTTCTTTGTTTCATGCAGATACGTTATCCTTTTCCTACCGTGCTTTGAGGGCTGGTCAGGGTGGAAGTGTTACAGTAAGCATTCTTGTGTTACAAGGAAATGCTGATATGGCAAATAAAACATGAACTAATTTTGCATGTCTTTGAAGTTGTTGTTCTGACAGCAAGGAATGGCTGTGATAAAGATTTCTAGTTGGCTGAAGCTGATTCTGTGTGTTGGCTGATATGTAAAATCAGCACAGCTGACTTCTCTAGCTTCCTAACTAGCAGGAGCTGTGAATACATAAATCTATGTAATGGAAGCTTTGCAACGCTTGGTGTTTACATAGCACTGGGTCTTTGCAGACCTGGTGTTCATTTTGGGAGCTTGCAACAGCTTCACACTGAAACAGGACTGCCAGCTCTCTGGAGCTAGAGTGTATACAGCATGGTGGTAGCTGTTTCACTATGATCTTATTCCAGCCAGCAGCATCCCTGCCCAACTGTGAGCTTCACTAACTCATCAAAATAGTAGAAAACTACCCAGCTTTTTTTCTTGCTGGAAGTTTTCTGTATTTTGTGAATTTGCTGAGCTCATGTAGGAGTTTGCAAGCACTAGGGTTTGTGCAAAGTAAGCAGAGGATCAGAGAGGAGAGCAGGGAGAACAGGAACTCCTTTCTGGAGGTATCTTGCTTGCATTTTGGCTCACTATTTCATGAAACTGTGCACTGAAATGATGTAGGAGCACA